GCTTTAGTGCTGTGATGGGTGGCCCAGATGGAAAGGATCAGAGGCTTGGGGTAAATAAAGTAGGTGAAGGTAGGTGGAACATGAGGAAGAGGAGTTCAGTGTAAATAAGTGGAAGTGCTGTTATTTTTTGTCCTCTCCTTTCTAGATCTTTCTAGGATATTCTATCCTGATACAGATTGGTTCCTTGCATTTACTCTTCAGATGAGGGTAAAAAGGACTCAAGAGCACCCAGTGGCAAAACTAAGATGTATTGCTTTTCTGAAATAAGTTTCCTTTTAATATCTTGTTTCCTGACTCCAGAAGAGTAGGGCTGAATAAAGACATTAGGGATGAAGAGGAGCTAGAAGCCCTGCTGTATCTACTTTCCAGTGGCAGAAAGAGCTGGCAGGCAATGGAAAGTCGGCTGGAGGTGGCACCTTGGTGATTGTCTGCACAAGGTCATGTGGGAAAGCATGTCCCATACATACCTCATCTACAGCCAACAATTTGTCGTCTTCGGCACCATTGGTACCTGGAATATCTTCAGCTGTTATCACATCAACCACCTTGGGTAGTTCAAGGGCCTCAGACCAATCAATTGATCTGAACAAAGAGAGATATTTAAGAAATAGAAATCAGCAAGCTTTGAGGACCCCAAACCTGAGGGAGGAATAGAGCATGGTTGAAAATCAAAATATATGACAACGAGTCCAGCTTAGGTCCTGACCAGTCAGAATGAGGCTGCCATGGAGTAGGTTCAGGAGATGCCCTGCTGGGCCAGGAAGTAATTCTTTAGCTAGTTGTGGGGGAGGTATTTGGGGTGGCCAGTGTGGCTGTGGCAAGGGATGTTCTTAGGCAACTTAGGACAGTGGCCATTCAGCATTTGGTGATGAAACAGGCATTTCAGTGTTTTATCACCAACTGAATATCAGCCCAATATTGGAGTTGTTCCTTTGAGCCGCGCCTGAGGCTGCAGCAGGGAGGGGAGGTTTAGTGAAGTTAGGATGGAAACAAGGGGCCCATAACTATGATTTTTATTCTCTCTTTCATGATGGGCATTTCTAGCTACTCTCCCTCCTTCCTCCTGGCACTGGCCATCTTTTCTTTATTCTTTCCATTTTAGGTTCTTCAGGTTCAGGACATTGCAGGAGAAAATGGGTACATTCCTCCAAGGGAATCCACAGGTATGTGTTTAAAAGGCTTTTGAAAGCTTTTTGTTTACTTACATGATTTTTGCATGAGCCCTGCTACTGGTCAACAAAGCCATGAAGAGTTCTTTATCCACCATGGGGATGTCATCGCAAAATACGGCTTCACCAGTGGCATGTTTAAGACCAGACAGGTGCATGATAGGGCGCCCAACTGGATCTTGGAGAGGTTGATGAGAATCCACACTCTACAGAGGAAGACAGGAGCTGCCCTAGAAACCCTTAATCTTTAGAAGTGGCCTGGCCAGTCACCAACATCCTGATTCAGGATTGAGAAATCAGACGGTCACCCTTGGGCAACAAACACTGCAGTGGATCAGATGATGAGTGTGACAATTTAATGATGTAACTAGAATGGGGAATTGCCATTTCAGAGATGTGGCAATGCCCTAGACACGGCCAGCCTTTTGGCAAAATGGTGAAGTAGGCGAAGGGGCACAGTAGCTTCTCCTTTCGGCATCTTCTTTTCCCAGGTGGTGCCCCTGGACCCCTTTCTTCAGAAATTTAGAAGCTCTCCCTCTCCTGCTTGCTCATCTTTCCAATGATCAACCTGTCTACATATAAAGTGGTGATGAGGCCTACAATGATATAGTTCCTGAGGGTGGGGGCCAAAATCTACACCAGAAGCCTGAGTATTGACCTGCTACTGGCAGAGGGTGGGGGGATGGCAATCGAGTCCCCCCCATGCAGATTATTCACCCTGGCTCCCTCTGTAAGTGGCACAAACACATCATTAGGAGTATAAGGAGACAGAGAAAGTGTTTATTCTGGAGCTCTTAAGGAAGGTGTGTGTGTGTGTGTGTGTGTGTGTGTGTGTGTGTGTGTGTGTGTGTGGAGGTGGGGTAGGGGAGGGGTTGTGCTCTAGCAAGAATAGATCATTTCTAAATCCTCCTCCTAGAAGGGTGAGGTCTGTTATTCGCAGGACTCTTGTCTGCTGACTGGAGATGAAATATTTGCAATCAAGGGTGGAGGTTGAACCTTCTGGCTTAGCCACTCTTCTGAGTAAACATCAAACAAATGCCCAAAGAATATCACTTGGAAGAGAGTATAATTATTAGTCAGGTGGTGCAGCCTTGAGTACATCTAGTGGCAGCTCAGGCCTGACCTTAGATTCCAGAGCCTCCCTGGCTTGCCTAAACAAAGAGCCAGTGCACTGAGCTAGAGAGCCAGAACTAAAAATCACAACTCTGGAAAGCTTGCTTGCTCGGCACACTCCCAATTCATCTCTTAGTTTCTAGGTTTCACGTAAATTAAACTCACTGACCTGGTATGTTTGGACTCCCTGGGGTATTGTGACTGGGAGATCTTCTAGAGCACTCAGGAATTGGTCTGAGATTTCGGGATAACGACTGCTGTCCTGAGAGATAATTCAGAACAAAAAGATAAGCTGGTTAGACTGTGCTTGGGTTTGTGCGAAAATGACTTGGCTCAAGTATGCATGGTAACCTGGATAACCCAAATCCACATTACCTCCCAGGGTTTCACTTTTTATGAATGTTTCTTGACCCTCCAGGCCACCCCACTTTCCATATAACGAGGACCTGGGCTGACTGGTTTGAATCTGATCCATCCTCAAGTTGCCCTGAGGAGGAAGAGGCCTGCCAAGGAAACTTGGGGCTGGATAAGCCATCCCAGAATAAGCAGGAGTCCACTGTACACAAAAGGCCCCAAATCTGATTATTTTTCTTGGGAACTCAGCCTTTCTGGGAGAGTAGTAGACTTGGTAAGACTGCTCTGGGTGCTGCTGAAACGTCTGTCTCGATTCAGAAATTAAAAGGCAGCAAAGATTATCCTGGAGAATGTGGTTGGTGAGGGTCTTCATCTAAGTCTAAAACTTGATGCTTTAGGAACAGTGGACCGTTGGGATGTTGTGTGTTTGGGGAACAGGGAGCACAGGTAGGGTGAGAGTTTTAATCATGGTCAGAGGAGGAGATGGAGAGAGAGAGAGAGAGAATGTTTTGCTTTGCTTAACTTATTCCAGAAGTTTACAGCCAGCAAATCTAGAAAGCTATTTAAATATTAGCCTACACATAGTAGTTTTGGTCTTTTTGAAAAATAAAATTTTATTTTACATTTTATATTGAGTAGAAAATTCTGGAATAGGCAAAATGAACCTATAGTGCTGCAAAGCAGATCAGTGGTTGTCTGGGCAGGGTAGGATGGTGACACAAGGGGGCACAGGGTACACTTTGGGGTGATGGAAATGTTCTATATCTAGTTGAGGTGGTGGCCACACAGGTATATACATTCGTCAAAATGCTCTGAATTTAAATAGGTGCATTTTATTGTATGTACATTTACTTCAATAAAGTTGATTTTAAAATTAAAAAATTGCATACTGGAGGCAGAGCAGGGGCACTATGATGTTTCAGTGCTCAGGGCACGCAGTAAAGATCTGTGGACTGAAGATAGTTTGGCATCTGAGCCTCCTGTGGCCCTTCAGGGCTGAATCCCTCCCTCAGGGCAGGAGGGTTGGCTGGGAACTGACAAGACCTGACTGGGAACAGGTGACAGATAATGGCTTAGGTTGCCCACAAGACAATTTGCAAAAGTTGTGGGAAAACTGTGAGCTTATGGTTACAAGGAGCTCATAAAAGCCAGATGTTATGGGTTGAATTCTGTCCCTCCCAAATTCATACGTTGAAATCCTAAACCCCAGTACCTCGGAATGTGACCTTATCCAAATAAGGTAGAATCTTTACAACAGAGGTAATCAATTAAAATGAGGTCATGAGGATGGGCCCTAATCCAGTATGACTGATGTCCTCACAAGAAGAGGAAGTTTGGACACAGGCATGCAGGGAGAATGCTATGTGAAGGCAGAGATCAGGGTGACACTTCTGCAAACCAAGGAACATCACAGAGTTCTGGCAAGCCACCAGAAACTAGGAGATTCTCCCTCCCAGCCCTCAGAAGGAACCAACCCTGCTGACACCTTATTCTAGGACATCTAGCTTCTAGAACTGTAGGATAATAAATTTCTGTTGTTTAAGCCACCCAGCCCGTGGTACTTTGTTACAGCAGCCCTAGCAAATGAAAACACCAGAGCACTTACGATCTTGTTCAGTTCCTGCAAAACCTCTAGGTAGAACTTGAAGAGGAAGCTGACTACCAGAGTCCTCCTGAATTCCACCTTGCCGCCCGGAGCTGAGCCTGGGAGGGAGACTTCGTCCAGAAGCAGCCTGCAAGCCTCATTGAGCATCAGCTCATTCCAGAGCCTGGCATGGGTAGAGACAGGAAGGCGCCAACTAGTTAAGGGGAGTCTCAATTACCTGGCATGCACTGGATATTGAATGGTGACATTTTAGGTATCCTGGAGTTTCCTTTTTTGAGTTGGAAAGAAACTTGGAAATCACCTAATCAAGCCTCCTCATGAAAACCAAGGCTTGGGGAGGTTGCATCGAGTGGCCCAAGGGTCAAGGCAGGGTGAGAATGGGACCTGTTCCATGGCAACATGAACCAAGCATGTTCCGGAGCCAGAATATGCTAGAACCAGGTATTAAATAAATAGACCATTATGGCCAATTCCATTATGATCTACACAGGACTCAGACTTGACTACTGCCTTTCCTGAGAAAGAAATAGAGTGCACCCAGCAGTGGAGCATTAGGTGCCACTCAGATGCTGCCCAGTGTGGGTTTGCTGGAGTATCGATCTGCATGAGAGAACGAGGGCCAGATGGAAAAAAAAAAATACCTGCCGGCTGAACTCAGGCCTGGACCATTTTTGTTGTATCCCTCCCCCAAAGAGTGGCATCCAATTAACTGAAGTCAAGTAAGATTTAGTTCATTCCACAAAATGATAGAAAGGACAAGCAGTGATTTTACATAATGGAGTTTCCATTTTCCCAGGGCTCTGCCAGCACTTGCCAGAGCCAAATTTCCACTTGTTTTCGTCAATGTCAAGTTTTGCCCTCAGAGTGCAGGGCTCACCGCTCACCTGCCCAGGAGCTGCTGGCAGGATTTGGGTGCGCTGACTGTGGCAGCCCCTAGTCCTCCGTAGGCAAGGCTCAGGTCCTCAATGGCATCTGTGCCTTCTCTGAAAAGGACCCGCATGCCAGCGTTCACATCAGGCAAGGCGTTTTGCTGGCACTGAGCCTGTCGAAAGGCTGACACAAATTCCCACTGTGGAAACAAAAACCACTGTGGGTTATCTGACATGTCAAAACTAACAGCATGGCTTCTTAGCGCCTTTAATTAATCATGTAGACTGAATCTAAAGGGACACAAAGGACAGTTGGCACAATTAGAGGACATTTTGTTCAAAGGGAGAATGGTATCCTCCCAAAGGCCCACCCCAAGGTCCTGGACATTCAAGAGACAGGGATCACCGTGCCCTTCCCTCTGATGCCCGGATGCCTCTGCGCGGTTTGCTGTGGAAACCCACACAGGGAAGGACACATTTCCACGTGTTCGTATTTCCAGGTGCCATTCCTTCTAGTCTTCAGACGCTTTTGTCCCCCAGGAGGATGGATGAGCCCTCCTAACACAGAGGCTTTTAAAGGTGGTTTGCTTGAAGTACAAAGGAGACCCACTACATTTCTTGGCTAGTAGAAACAATCACTTTTCAATTTGGCAAGTGGAAGGCCGAAAGGGAGCTGGACAGAAATTTCCCACAGCAGACTAGGGAATGTTGTGTCAGGAGCAAGTCAGGAGGGGGAGGGCTGCCCCACTGACCCCTTGGCACCATGCCCACTGGTGTGCTGAGGTGGGGTCAGTGACCATGGCCTGTGCCCCTAAGTGCATTTCCATCTGTGCAGCCAACAAGGGTGCTCATGCTTGAGTCTGCCTGCTCTTCTGTCTACTGCTTTTGCACAGATGTACATGGAATGGGAAGTTTCCACTCCAAAGGAAAAAGTAATGAACAGCCTACAGGGCTGGAGGCATAACTCAACACAGACTTCCTCCATAACCCGGCTGACGCCTGGCTTTTGATTGCTGTGAGTGTGCGCACGCGTGTGTCATATTGCCTCTCTCTGGGAAGACTGTCCTCTTGGATTCCGGTGCAGCTTTGGGAGAGGCGCAGGGTACAGGGAGTGAGGGCAGATGGTACCTCCGTAGCCTGCTGGGTGGCCATGTCAACCCAGGGGCTCCTAGGTTAGCACACATCTGGAGGCCGTTGTGCCCCCGTGACCTGTTGGGTTGGCCAGAGTGGGGAGTGGGAAGGCTGAGCTGAGCCTCCAGCTCCCTGTGGGTGAGGTCAGAAGCTCCATTCTACGGCCAGAGAGCTTTAACCCCTGGACACAAGTGAGGGGGTACTGAGGCATGGCCACAGCTGCCCCTCCCCCCTGCAGGCCCCACCCTACAGCTGAAACAACCACCCCAAATCCATACCCCAGAGCAGCTTGCCTGAGGCTGTCTGAGGGCCTTGGGGCTGGACCAGTCTAGTGGGACAGAAAACAGGTTTTCAGGGCAGAGCCATTTTTCTTCACCTGCTTTTAGAGTTCTGAAGATGACTGGACTCAGTTACGGAAAGCAGGCAGTGGAATTCTTACCTTTCGAGAGTGAGGGATATGGACAGATTCCAAAATTTCCTCTGGCTTAAGGTCTGCACTTGCCAACCCAGCAAGAAAATGTTCGTTTAGAGGAATCTGCCGTGTACCTTCTGTGGAAGAAAATGACATTTCTAAACAGTCGCAACAAAGAAAGTGAGATTATTTTGTACTTTTAAATGTCAGCAGTGCAGAAGAAAAGGTCAGCCTCCTCTACACAGATTGAGGCAGGGGTCTGAGGCTGTGGTAGAGCCGCAAGGGTCGCTGTTCTCTCCACAGGAAGGGGCAGCAGCTGCTTCCTGACATTTACTGTGATCAGAGAACACGCCACATGAACCGCAGGCCTGCCAGGCACATGTGGTTCTCATCTCTCAGCAGAGGCTGGTTAATGCAATAGAACCCATTCCACGCTGTAATCAAGGTAAGGGTGTAACTTGAGCCAGTGCAGGGCTCGTTCCCACTGTTAACAGTGTTCAGATCATTACATTTGCCTTTTGTTCGTGCTGCTGTTGTCAGCTCCTGAGACAGATACTTAGACCTTTGAAGCAAAGGAAACAATTAACAAAGCCTCCTTCCAGCTCAGCTGGCACCTCTTGGTGATCAGAGCCATACCCTCTGGCTTTAAATGCTGCTGTTGTCAGCTCCTGAGACAGATACTTACACCTTTGAAGCAAAGGAAACAATTAATAAAGCCTCCTTCCAGCTCAGCTGGCACCTCTTGGTGATCAGAGCCATACCCTCTGGCTTTAAAAAATGGCTTGTAGCAGTGCAGAAGGTTTCCTGAGATCAAACTATGGCGCATGGACAATGTGGTTCAATCCCTGGCACAATCAGCGCTGTGCTGGTTGAAATGTAGGTGTGGTCATGAGGGAGGGAGGCAGGAGTGCCCCAAAGGAGCTCCCTGGAGATCTCCGCCTGGCCCCCTGCCCTGCTGCTGGGCCAGCAAGCTGATCTACTTGCCCTCGCTGGGGCCGGGGCCATGCTTGTGGTTGAGATGGCTTTGGTTGAGCTGAGAAAGCAGAGACTGTGAGCCAGAGGTAACAACCAACACCCCACTAGAAGAACACTACTGTTACTGCTGCTGCTACTGCTAATACTTCTGTAGTAGAAGGCCCTGGAAGGGCACCATGCCATCCTTGGCTTTTTCTCTCCTGGATTTTGTGGGTTGATTCGGGGTCATCCCAGGCCACAGGTCTGGAGGACTCAGTGAAGAGCCTGACTTGGTCAGCAGGGTGAGCCTTTCCTCTAGTCCTTCTTGGCCAGCCTCATGCAAAGCTGGAGAGGGGAGAGCTTGGGGCATGAACTCATTTCTTGGCCACCAAGTCTCTCCTCAACATGTCTGGATTCCAGCAATGAGGGATTGGATAGTGTTAGCCAGCAAATACCTCAGGGAGGGTTACCGTGCCCATTCCTGGTTGGACACATCCCAGAAGTCCACATGGGCAGAGATGGTGATTGCTCCTCCTGGACCCCATACCAGGGATACTGTCAGCTCTCAGGAGGTGCCAGTGAGTCAGTGACTGGGTGAGTGGGAGGGACAGAGGGAGTGGATATTGGTTGTAGGTGGTTGGGGGAGGGGCAACAAAAGGACATTTCAGAGCTAGAGACTTTGGGGAGAGGACAAGATGGCCTGGGGAGAAGAGGCCAGCATGCTATTGAGAAATCAGACACACTGGGCCTCACATCTGCTATGGTTTTGATGTTTGTCCCCTCCAATACTCATGTTGAAATTTAATTGCCATTGTAACAGTATTAAGGGGTGGACCCTTAAGAAGTGATTAGACCATGAGGGTCCACCCTCATGGGTGGGATTGGTGCTGTTATAAAAGGGTGAGTTCAGCTCCCTCTTGCTCTCTCTTGCCCTTCCGTCTTCCACCATGGGATGACACAGAAGAGGGTCCTCACCAGACCTTGATTTTGGATTCCTGGCCTCCAGAACTGTGAGGAAATAAATTTCTCTTTATAAATTTCCCAGTCTCAGGTATTTTGTTATAGCATCACAGACTGAGAATAACATCCCATGCCTTCCTCTACAAGTGACCCTGGCTGGGAAGTTGAGCGGATTGGAGACTAGATGTGTGAAATGTCCAGCACAGCCTGGCATGTAGTTAGCACCCAGTTGAGGGGCATGTTAGCATACGTGAAGCAGCGTGAGTGTGCTGGGCACTTGGGGAGATGGGAAGGTGGTTTAGCAGGGAGCTGCCCCAAGGGAATGTTCCCCTCAGCCAGCAATTATAATTAATCACTGCCTTCCCCCTGCCCCCAGGGACCCACCATGTCCCGATGTCCACTGTGTGTCCTCACCAGACATGGCTTCTTACACACAAATGGGAAGGGGGGAAGGAAGGCGGATGAGTTAGAGGGCCCTGTGAGGGAGGCCTCAGACTGTCTGCTGGTGGAAGGAGGGCTGTGAGGAGGAGGAGGAAGCAGGGAGCAGTCCCTCAGGCCACAGGGACCTGGCCCTCACCTCAGCCTCTGCATACCACCCCTGCTGTTTACTGGCCTAGCAAAAACACATGAACTAACACGTGGGCTTACATGCGAGCCAGCTGAGCTTATGGTCCCAGGTTTTGTGCACATGTGTGCATGCATGTGTGTGTGTATGCTTGCATGTGTGTGGTGTCAGAAGGAAGCACCAGCCAGCTGTTGCATTAACGTGCCTTTCCCCATGAGTCTGAGGTCCCCATGGTGAATTGAGAGTCAGGGACCTGGGCTCTGACTTAAAGCAAGTCCTTAAAAAAAAAAAAATACAAAGACAAAAATCTTTAGGTGCTGTCAGAGTGTTCTGAAGTAGCTCACCTTCTGATATCAGATTGAGGGTAGCGTTGCCCACAGCAAGAATTGGATTCAGATCCGAATAGCAATGCCGGCTTATAATATGTCCTCCTAAGGACTAAGGAGAGAGAGTTAGCTTGGACATTCTGTCTCCCACAGGCACCTGCTTGTGGTCCTTTCAGTGGCTAGAAAGTGTCAAGAGGAATCTTGGTCTTTGCAGAGGGGACTCAGTCCAGAGTGTTGGGAGGACCCCTCCCACTGGCTCCTTAGACTCAGAAGAGGAACTGAAGGTAACTAACACTTACCTAACATTTGGTATGTTCCACATGCTGTCTAAGCTCTCAACAAATGAAGACACTGGGGCACAGAGAAATCATGAAACTTAACCAAGGTCCCCCAGCCAGGAGGTGGCAGGTCTAGGATTCCAACCCAAGCAGTGAGGCTTAGCGGCCCATTCTGAGTCACACCTACTAGGCCTTGGCCACAGTGCAGATGGCCACGGTGCGGCTGCAGGGATGCCATCCCGCCTGTGAACACAGGATCTCAGCCTCATCTCTCATGGGCCTCTGAAATGGCTAGCCCTCACATGGGCCACAGCAGCATACACACCGTTGACAGAGAATTGACATTTGCTCTCCTTGGGAGACTCACATGGATCTGATTGAATCTGTAGCATCTCAGAACATGGGAGAGAAATGACTGGCCATTATACTCAATACTCTCCTCCCCACATAGTGAAGGAATCTACAGGGACCTCCTAGGCTGCTGTGGTCTGGGCTGGAACATAGGTGAGGACAGGGAACCCCATTCCTTTATGAAAAGCTCAGTTTTAAAGTTCTTTTGTTTCCCCTGAGCTGGTATCTGCCTCCCTGGACTCTTACCTATTGATCATATTTCTTTGTGATCATATATAACAACACATCTGTCCTCAGGAGTCTATAAATATCTGAAAGCAGCTCTCATGTTCTCTTGAACTCTCCCAACTCCCTGTTCCTTTTTTTTTTCTTTTTCACATAGGTCCTACTTCTGTACCAATTCCTTTCTTGGATGTGGCTCCAACCCCTCATTCTCCTGCCACCATCTCCTTGCCAGGCTCCAGGATGTCTAGTCAGAGTTCCTGACCGGGGAGAGAACATTTTGGAATCACTCGAGAGCTTTTTCAGAGGAATCATGTCCTGCCCCAATTCCCCATATCCCAAGTATTTCTATGGGTATGTAGGAGAGAGAGCATTCATATTTTGAAAACCTATGTCTCTTTCCCTTCCTTCTGAGGTAAAAAAACAACCAGACCTTAAAATGTACCTCCCAGATGTGAGCATCCTTCTCCAGCTGTGGTTTGAACAGTACAAAGTAGAGAAAGCTACCCTCTTTGTTTTTAGAAACTATGTGATATGGGTTCATAGCGTCCCCCAAAGTTCCACATATTAGAAACTTAGTCCCCACTATAACACATAGTGTTACCAGGGTGGGAGATCCTATTATGGTAAGTGAAAGGTAGGGCCTTTGCGAGGTGATTAGATTGTGAGGGCCATGCCCTAGTGAATGGATTAATCCATTAATTGTTTAATGGTGGTCATGATTGCAGTTATGATGGCTTTAAGAGGAGAGCATGTGAGAAGGTTAGTCTCTCACTCAAGCCATCTGCTGTGTGAAACCATGCATTGCTGTGGAGAGTCACTACACACCAAGGAGGTGCTTACCAGGTGTGTTCCCTGGACTTTGGACTTCCCAGCCTCTGAAGCTGTAAGCAATAAATACTGTTTTTTTTTTACATATTACCCAGTTTCAGGTATTTCTGTTATAAGCTTCAGAAAAAGACTAATGCACTATACTTCTGTTAATGCAGCCTAAAACTGAATTAGGTTGACAGGCTTAACATGAAATTAGCAAAACCATGATGTCCTTTTCTCACCTGTGTTACAGCTTAACCACTCTAGAACTTGACTTACAATTCTCTCTTAAATATTTATTAAATAATGTTTAATTTAAAATATTTATTTATTATGCCTGTGTCAACCTGCTGAGACCTTTTTGGATACTGATTCTGCCAATGCATATTCCAACATTTTGGTGAGACTGAGAATTAGGCATGGTGTGACCAGTGATTGAAACTGAGAAACTTACTGCCATATTCCGGATCTGCTGACTGGCCAGACTCCTCAGGTGCTTCAGGAGGGCTCGGTACGTCTGAGTTTTCTCCTCTGTGAGCTCGGGTATCCTCTCAGCCAAGATGTCCTTCATCTGGGCCAGGCTGCAGCCAGCACCTATTGTCAGTCCTGGAAAGCAAATTGATTTTGTGGTTGACATGGGAGGGCTGCTAAATTGTAATCATGGCACCAGTGCTAGTGTTGGGCCAGTGCAGTGGCTTTCCACGTTGGCTGCACAGAGAGTCACTAGGAACTTAGAAACAGCACAAATGTCCACTCCCAGATCGACTAAATCAGAATCTCTGGATGTGGGGCCTTTTAAAAGGCTCTCCAGGTGGTTCTCCTATGCAGCCAGGCTTGGGAAGCCTGGGCTGGTCCACACTCTTCTTTGGACAGACAGGAGGAAATAGAGGCTAGAGAGAAGGAATGACAGTAACAACCTACAGGTGGCAGAGCCTACTAGAACTTTGCATGACCTATTGCTGACTGACCATGATGAAGCTATGCAGAATTGTTTTGTGATTAAGGGGGATAAATCTGATGGCATTAAAATAATGTCAAATGTCATTCAATTCCCTAGGTCATCCTCTAAAATCAATCATGCACCAATCAGAATGAACACAGCCCATGCAAGGAGCTGCCCCAGGCATTATGTCGGGTGTGGTTGGGTGAGGGGAAGTTGGGGGTTCCTGTGGAGGGGCCAGGGCAGCGATGGGAGAGCATCCAGGAGGATTGGGGCAATGCTACTGGCAAGGAAGTAATTCAAAATTTTAACAACCTCTCCAGCCATACTTGTGAGGATTGGCAGGGTATTAGCATGAACTTCAGGGTTTCTCTTGAGTAGGAATGAAACTCAATCTTCAGAAGTGCAGTGGTCACCCAAACCATCAGGGGGTGACTTAGTTGGCCTTTTAAAATGAATCCTTTACTTCCTGGGATTTTCAGAATGAAACACTGACACATAGAGTTTGATTTGCCATCAGTAGCAGGGTTAGGGTCTAATTACAGTCTGTTTTTATCAGGTTTCAGGATGGGCTTTGATTTTTCTCTTTAATAGAAGTTTATTATTATTATTATTATTATTATTATTATTATTATTATTTTGGCAGCTGGCCAGTAAGAGGATCCAAACCCTTGACCTTGATGTTACAACACCACACTCTAACCAACTGAGCTAACTGGGCAGCCAATATTGGCATTTTTTTTTGGTGGCTGGCTGGTACAGGGATCGAACCCTGGACCTTGGTGTTATCAGCACCATGCTCTAAACAACTGAGCAACTGGCCAGCCCTGATTTTACTCTTGATTAATCTTTGAGAATATTTTACCCTCCCACATAGTTGTATTTTATCAATACAAAAAAAGTACATGAAACAATACTCCCGCCCCCTTGCCAACACACCCTCACAAAACCCGAACTGCTTCAATAGTCTCAGCTGACTTTATAGATTAGGGAAACCACTGCTCCTTATTATCCTAATGCTAAGTACACTTTGCCTAAAAGTAACCAAACTGTCCCTCCTCTCTGCAATGTCTCAGCCTGCAGTCCTCACACCCTGCATCTGTTTCAGCATCTCATAAAATGCACGCTGTAATGTGGGACCCGATCCCACCCCAGACCATCAGCAATGATCTGTTGCTTCATTATCATCACAGGTTCCATTGGAAGCTGGTCTTTAACTTCTGCAAGAATCCTGGCCTTATCTTTGCAGGAGTGCTAGGAAAATGAAGCTTGGTTCCTGTCATACAATTCCTTCTCCCTAAGGAGAAGACCCAGATCCTTAGTAGAGAAGAAGCCAGAAACCAAAAGGCATCATTATGGCATCATTAAGGTCAGAAGCATCACACAGAACAGCATTGCCGCTTTTTATCTGACATTTGTAGAAAAGGGCAGGTCAGCCCCAGCAGGCATGAAATGCCAGCTGTCTGCTCTATTGCCTGAGTCTTCATGAGATTTCAAACCCAGTCTGAGGCCAGACAATCTGTTTTGGGGCTTTAGTTCAGCTATTTCCATTTCTCACATTATGCCTCACTTTGTGCTGGGCATGACACACTTTGCTTGGCTGTACTGAGAAAATACTATTTACTATAGTTTTATTCATATTTTATCCCATCTCTGGTCATAAAATCTGGCTTGAATTCCAACGGAATTAGAAAGAGCTTCTTTTTTATTTTTTATTTTTTTATTTTTTTTCCTTTTTGTCTTTTTTCGTGTCCGGCAACGGATTGCAACCCTCAGTGTCGCGCCCGTACCGGACCGGACTGGCAACGGGATCGCAATCCTTGGTGTTGCGCCCGCACCTCGCTCAGCCAGTGAGCAGGAACCGGTCTGTATGTGGGATCTGAACCCTCGGCGGGAGCGCCGCCGTGCTCCCAAGCGGCGCACTGTAGCAGTGCGCCACCGGGCCGGCCCTAGAAAGAGCTTCTGTTTGATTCTCAGAAAGGGGGGTTCGTTTTGACTTCATGTTTCTCGGGTTCATGGGCCTATGGGATAAACATGCAGCAACTTTCTAGAGCACTTACTATACTAAAGATTTTAAGGAAAAAAAGATGTATATTGAGCCAAACATATTTGTACTATGGATGAGCATGCAAAATTTAAACAAATGTTTAAGTCAAAATGACAGCTTCACACAAATCTATTTTCTGGGGGTGATGGGGGGACACATCTGGCCCCAGTGCACTCCTTCCCCTTCAGTGTCCTTCACTCTTCTGGGCTTAGTAGAAGTTTGAGAAGCATGGAAACTTTCCTGGAAGCCACTAGAGGGTACTCATGCTTTTATTTTCCGAGGCCCAGAGGCAGGCACATTGTTTAGTTTCCTCAGATTTTAGAATCTGGCTCTACTTTGGCTGCAGAGACCAAACCAAGCAGTCAATGCAAACAGCCAATTGGACAGGCTGTGGGGTGGAGCTGGGCTGGGGAGCGGGGCATCAGGAGGCCAGCAGTGGCGATAAGGAAATAGTTCTGAGTTGCAAGTGGGAAACCTTGTAACCTGACCACCAGCCAGCTTGGGGACCTTGGGCGTGTCCACTCTCCTTTCATGTCTTGGCTTCCTCATCTATAAGATGAGAAATTTGGGTTATATTGGAGGATTTTGAATTGTGCTCAGGGGGCTCAGAGAAAGGGAAGGATGATGAAAAGTCTTTTGAACAGAGCAGCTTATTTTATTTACTTATTTTATTGAAGATTTGTTTGAGGACAGGGATGTGGTGCTAAGGAGAAGTTTGAAAATAGCAGGGCTAAATGATGCCTGCGGTGAGGAGCAGGCCAAGGGCCTCCTGCCACAGCCTTCTGTGTAGTGCTCTGGCTGGCTGTCCTCCCGACCGTTCCATTCTACTCTTCCCTCTTCCTCTCCCTCCCTTCTGCCATTACCAGGCTTTCAGGCCAATCGAAGCACATTTCTCTGTTTTTCTAAATGGCATTCAGGTATGCTACCTGAATTGTCCCAAGACTGAAGCTGTGAAGCCTTCTTGTTGGGCAAAATCCAGGAAGGGCTCCTTCCCGTGCAAATGGGTGGGGTCAGATAGGGAAGGGCAGGCTTGCTGGTCTACAGTGATCTAAGTGTGGCTGATGATGGTTAGAGGCCAGGAAGGCAGGACTCCTGGACGGCAGTGTTGCAGCCCTCCCCTGCCCACCCCTGTCCCTCCCAAACACACAGTGACCTACAGGTCAAATCTTGACTAAAGCTTTCAGTTCAGTCAATTTCCCTGTTGCCTAAGTTAAGGAAGTCATCATTACCACTGCGTCCATTACATTCAAGTTCCTGACCCATTCATTCATTCATTTTTTCCATTAATTCATCAGCCATGGACTGAGCACTTACATGCATGAACAGGACTAGAACTCTGGGGGATGAAGAAAGGAGGAAAATAAGGTTTCCTTTGTTTAAAGTTCTGCCATGCATTTGAATGTGGAGTTTTGTGTGTTTTCTTCCTACATTGTGAGCTCCACCTTGCTTGATATGGCACTCTGCACTAGTGGGCTCTTGATGGTTTTGTAAGTGGCTGTGGTGCTTGCCCAGGCAAGTATTTGTCCCATTTGTCCCCTTGCCACTGTCCCCATGAGACAAGTAGCATGCAAGTGCCAGACAATATTTCTCCTACTTTTCCCTGCAAACATCCTCTCTTTATGGAATTGATTGTCTAATTGGTGGGCAGCACCTGTTCTCTCTGGCTGTTTTCCCATTAAAGTGACACTGCAAATTTATTGTCTCTGGGTCACCATGGCATTTTATTTTATTTTATTTTATTTTATTTTTTCCGTGTCCGGCAACGGATTGCAACCCTCAGTGTCGCCCCCGTACTGGACCAGGACCGGCAACGGGATCGCAACCCTCGGCGTTGCCCCCGCGCCTCGCTCAGCCAGCGAGCGGGAACCGGTCTGCATGTGGGATCCGAACCCTCGGCGGGAGCGCCGCCGCGCCTCCCAAGCGGCGCACTAGCGCAGTGCGCCACCAGGCCGGCCCCCACCATGGCATTTTATAGGCAGGAATACTGCAGGTGACTGCAAGGTCTTGAATGATACCATTCGGATACCTCATATTCCCCAAAAAGATTTTGACAGAAAGGTTTCACCGGGGGCGGGGGGGGGTGTAATATCTAAAAATATAGGAAAATGATGAAGAATTAGAAATAGGCCTGACTAGACACATGATGAGGAGGTTCTGAGTTATTTGACGAGTGTAAGTTTATGGCAGGGATGGCTTCATTGACATCTCACTAAAAACACCAGGAACTCACCGTCACTTGTTTTAGTCACTGTAGTCAGCTCAGATATCCTAGCAGGAGAGAGCAGAATTGGGTGAAAATGTCCTTGTGATTTCATTGCAGGTCCTGAAGAGTAAACAGATTTTAGAGATAGTTAGGAAAGAGAAAATGCCTCGTTTTTGCATTGAAATTTTCTCATAAAAATAGTCAGACACAAATTTTAAAGATTGACAATAGCTGTGTATAGATGTGAAAGCAGTGGTCATTAATCCCTTCTGAATAAATTAATAGAGCATGCACTCCCCATATATGCATTTATTTATTTACACGCTCACTGCATTTATGTAAAATAGGAAATAAAAAGGATGAGAAGCTCTTAAAACACTCTTGCACATAGGCACTGCAAAACATACATAAGAATATTTATAATAGCCCAAACTACTGGAAGCAGCGGGATCTATTTCAACAAACTGTCCTTCAGCAATAGAATGGATGACAAGCTGTTCCACGCTCCTTCAGTGGAATGTAACACAGCTACATGCCACAGTTGGGTGAATCTCAGGCCAAGAATGTCGAATGATCAAAGCAAATTACAGGAGAATAATACGGTATCAGTCTATTTATGTGAAGTTCAAAAATATGCAAAACTAAATGATATGTTGTTTAGAGATTCAAATATATGTGGTAAAATTATAAAAATAAGGAAGAGACTAACCAACACAAAATTCAGGCTAATGAATCCCTTCAAGAGAGAAGGTAAAGGAAGGGGGTGTGGTTTAGAAGGGCCCACAGGTGGGGGGGGGACTTTCAAAGTTCTTAAGATGGGCGTGGTACTGGCCAGCCACCAAAAATAAACAAGCAAGTGAGGGGGCCCATATGGGTAGCTCAGTTGGTTGAAGTGGGTGTGGGCGGTAACTGAGTGTGTATTGCATTCTAATATGTCTGCTCAATATTTAACAAAAACAAAATAAAAATGTACAAGATAAATTAAATGATTACAGAAAAACTCCTTTAATTCCTTTTCCCCCCACCTCAAGGGATCACCCTGCATACTACCAGGTACATGTACATCCAACTTGGAGACCGCCAGCTTTACTATAAAGGATGAGGCTTTCATCCCTAAAAAGCAGTTTTTGTAGACCAAGAACAGAGTAGGGGACAGGAAGTTCAGTTCAGCATCAATGGTGGAATGAGAACCATTGCAGGCACTCACCTAGTGAGGTGTTGCCGAGGATCAGAGGGGCTTCAGGGTGTTTCACTTTCAGCTCCAGGAGATCCTTGAGGGTCCCAGGGGAGATCCAGGTAACCCTCTCTCCATAAAAGGTCAGGGTTCGTTTTTCTGGGTTCTCTGCCATCCTCTAAGGGCAAATGACAAGCATGTGTGTTCCTGTGCACACCTGTATACAAGGTCCCAGGAGGAGGTATGTTCCTCTAGAGAGATTTCAGGTGTTCCAGGGTCCACTTGCCAGAATAGATACTATGTCTGTGGTCAATGCCTGGATTCCTATAAATAGATGGCTTTTTGGGAACAAGTGACAATATAAGCTGGCACCTGTTACTGACCATTCAGTATGGATTAATTTAGCATAATTTAGTCTCATGGCTTTAAATATCATAATTATAAATGCTCCTAAATTAATATCTTCATCCTGGACTTTTCCTCTGAAATCCAAACTCATATCTAAATGAGTGCTTGTTGTTGCCTCTTAGATGTGTAAAAGGCATCTCAAATTTAATTTCTTCAAAACTGAGCTCCTTATATCTAATCTCCTTCCAAGCCCCTGAAAAGGAAACCCCAAAAGGAAAAATACTCTGTCCTCCAGAGGTCTTCCCCATCTTTGTAAATGGCCACTCCACCCTTCCAGCTGGCCAAGGCCCCAGAATCAGCCTTGACTCCTCTCCCTCTCCCATACCCCCATCACATCCAGTAGCAAAGCCTGTTGGCTTTTCTTCCAAAATATATCCAGAATTCAATTGATTCTCACCATCCCCACCCCAGCAGCCTGGCCCAGCCACCACCATCTCTCAGGATAGCATTGGTCCCCTGGTGGGGCTCCACGTACCTTCCCTTGCCTCTCTGCAGGCTATTCTCAACACAACAGCCAGAATGATGCCATTGCAACCTAAGAAGGAGCATGCCCTCCTCTGCCCTACCCCACAATAGCGTCTCCTCTCACACAGGTGCCCAGCAGCATTAAGTCCAGCCTGGTCTGGCCCTGACGGCTTTCTGACCTCCCCTGGCTCACTCAGCTCCAGCTGGGCTGGCCTCCGCTCTGTCCCTTGCTCAGGCCAGGTGTCCTCCCGCCTGCAGGGCCTTTGCACTTGCTGATCCCACACGTGGATTGTGCTTCCCCCACATATCTTCGTGGCTGGTGTCCTCACTTCCTTTCAGATTTTCTTCAAGTGTCTCCCTCTCAGAGAAGTCTTCTCTGTATTTAAAATTGTAACTCCCTGCATCTAATCCTCCTTCTCTGTTTTATTCTTTTCTTCTTAACACTCTCACTTACTAACACTCTCCATCTTTTATCTATTATTTTGCTTATTGTCAGTCTCTCTCACTAGATTACAAGCTCCTCCAGGGAGCTTTTTGTAAGTTTTGTTTCCTGGTGTTTATTCAGTACCTAGAACAGTGTCTGGCACTTTGCTGAATGGATAAATATTTGTTGAATGGATAAATGAACACATTAGAACCCCTTCAGAAGTAGGTATTTCATAGAATGGGACTGCTGGATGCCTGAGGAGAAAGACGCAGATGCTGACGGGAGGAAGGGAGACGCACAGTGGGGCTCCTGGGGGTGCCCCTTGGGATCGATGTACTGGAGTGGCTGGGAAGACCACGTGGAAGCTGAGCAATGCTGTACCACCTGGACAGTCAATAGCGACACATTCCAGAAGACAGTGATACGAGTGAGGATGGAATCATTTAAAAAGTAGCCTCAGCTGAGGTTTCAGGGAATGTTTCCAGGGGTCAGCCAGGGCTTGGTGAGCTGGGGAGGGAGAAGGCATCTTGCTCTGATCAAACATTTCCACACTTTGACAGTTTCACAGGAAGGAAAAATGGATGGTTTTATGAAACTGAGTTTATAATGGGTGATATCTAAACGAGTGCATAACATACTCAACTCATCTTACCAAGAGTTCTGGAGGAAATATGAGCTCCTGGGTAGGGTCCAAGGGCTGGAAGTCCTCTTTTGCAAACAGCTCCGTGCAAATCTGTATAAAGGGAAGAAGCAGATGGCCCTGTCAGCCCTGCTCAATTAGAAACAGTGTGTAATTCTTTACAGGAATTAGACAACATGAACATAGTAAGAACTCTCCTACTCTCCTGGTACAGGGAAATAGTTCACACCAAATAATTTAAAATGAGAATTTTGTAAGAGAGATCCTGATTTATCACTAATGTGATACTAAAGGAAAGAGTATTCTATGAAATACTCCAAAGAGTATTGTGGGAAACACCAAGACATTCTATAAAAAACTATCAGAAGTTAAGTAAGTTTGGGAAGTTCTCTCCACTGTGCCCAACCACTATTCTTTCCCCTGCCCAGTCAGGATTCAAGATGCTAAAAGCTCTGAAAAGTCTTGTAATTTAAGTAAAAATGACTCTAAACATACGTGCCCACGTATGAACACATACAATCTGACTTTAATGAAAATAGTTAACATTTACTGAGTGTTTACATTCCACGTGCTTTTACATGTATCGATAATTTATTTAGTCTTCACGATAATTGTATAAAAAAAGTAGATCATTGGGCCGGCCCGTGGCTCACTCAGTAGAGTGCGGTGCTGATAACACCAAGGCCCCGGGTTAGTGCTTTTACATGTATCGATAATTTATTTAGTCTTCACGATAATTGTATAAAAAAAGTAGATCATTGGGCCGGCCCGTGGCTCACTCGGTAGAGTGCGGTGCTGATAACACCAAGGCCCCGGGTTCGGATCCCACATAGGGATGGCCGGTTCGCTCACTGGCTGAGCGTGGTGCTGACAACACCAAGTCAGGGGTTAAGATCCCCTTACCGGTCATCTTTTAAAAAAAAAAAAAGTAGATCATTATTTCCATTTTGCCCATCAAGAAACTAAAGCACAGTGAAAATTTACCCAGCTTGTAATCCTGTTTGAATTAGATCTGGGTTAGTTGTGGGAAACACTTATTGCTAGGAAACATTCTTGAAGAGGTCAGGAAAATTGGGAGAGAATCATGGGATGCAGGGGCGGAGGCAGGTGCGATGCAGAAGAGGAAACGTGGACATCAGAGGTAGACAGATCTGGGTTCAATCTCAGCTTGGCTCTCTGACCTTTCCAATGGAGAGGTGCTTAACCCCTTTAAAGAACAAATGGAAATAATCCATATTTTGAAGGGTAATTGAATAGGTAAAATGACCTGACATTTGAATAATACTCCCCTCTTTTTCTATCTCTCTGAGGTCTTCCATGGATCCAGAAGGAAAACTAGTAATTGTTCCTTGTCAGGTTCTTAGTAAGGCCACAGATTGAGGCATTATAGGCCCACATCTAAATGATCAGTTTTGCATTAATTGGAATTAAAAGCATAGGCAGTACTTGGGGGCAATAATATGGTATATCTCTAAATCCCAGAAATAAGATTGTGCCTGAGAATTACAATGTAAAAGAAACAATGAATCAAAGCCGAGAAATGAAAAGTTCCCTAAACAGGTCCTAGGTCAAGACTTAAAAGTTACCCAAATGGAAGACACTAACATAGATTAGAGAGAAGAGAGAGTCACAGGGGCACACACCTAGACAACCAGCAGGTCCACTCTGGTGGAAGGAGGGGTCTTCTATGACACTACCCACTAAGACTATGCAACTGCTCTGTGTCTATCACTATAATTTGGCTTTCTATGTCTGTTTCTCTGCAGGGAAAGGATGTGTGGCTCAGCGACTACAAGATCCACTTTACAATTGTGTTTCTCTTTATAAATGAATATCGGGGCACTTTTCAGTGAGGTCTTCCATGGATCCAGAAGGAAAACTAGTAATTGTTCCTTGTCAGGTTCTTAGTAAGGCCACAGACTGAGGCATTATAGGCCCACATCTAAATGATCAGTTTTGCATTAATTGGAATTAAAAGCATAGGCAGTACTTGGGGGCAATAATATGGTATATCTCTAAATCCCAGAAATAAGATTGTGCCTGAGAATTACAATGTAAAAGAAACAATGAATCAAAGCCGAGAAATGAAAAGTTCCCTAAACAGGTCCTAGGTCAAGACTTAAAAGTTACCCAAATGGAAGACACTAACATAGATTAGAGAGAAGAGAGAGTCACAGGGGCACACACCTAGACAACCAGCAGGTCCACTCTGGTGGAAGGAGGGGTCTTCTATGACACTACCCACTAAGACTATGCAACTGCTCTGTGTCTATCACTATAATTTGGCTTTCTATGTCTGTTTCTCTGCAGGGAAAGGATGTGTGGCTCAGCGACTACAAGATCCACTTTACAATTGTGTTTCTCTTTATAAATGAATATCGGGGCACTTTTCAGTTTAAATATCATGTTCTTTTAACTTTGGTTAAAGTGAATCAAGTGTTCTGTAGAGCCCAATCATGGCCCAAGTTGAATTCCTGAGATCACAAAATTGAGAATCAACTTTAGAATGTATTGAGCCTACCAAGGCGCCAATTGTGAAGTGGTCGTGGCAGGTGTAGCCCACTCTCATGGATAAACCCCTCTCTTCCATTGCGCACTTTCTTCAGACCCAAATGAGGTGACAGTGGGAGCCAAGAATGGGAAAAAGGAAGGTCTGAAGAATGGAAATAGATTCAGGAAGGAAGGATGGGCACAGTTTTGTCCAAAGCCAGCTGTGTGCTCTTAGATATCCTTGTTTATAAGGAGCCAGATCTCCATTTTATCCTATATTTCAACTTCTCTAAGTAATTCCTTTAAGAATTTGGCAGTGGTTCTTTTTTGGAAACTAGTGTCTCTCAGAGGGCAAAGCCAGAGACTCAAATGTTTAAGGCTGGACTTCCTAGTTATGGGCTGTTAACCTGCCACATGACTTTGGAAGGCTCCTCAGCCTTCCTGAGGTCACAGCGCCCTCTCTCTAGAAAGGATGAGAGACGGTGATAGAGTATGACTGCGAGAGTAGGGCCAGGGACAGAGATCCGTTTTCACCTGAGGATGTGACTCATCCATAGTTGGGGGAGGGGTTTCTTCTCTTATCTGAGTAATTTTGTTGTCCTGGTGTTGCAGTGTTTCAGACTGTGAAGGGGAAAATCAGAGTATGGGCTTTGGATCAACACCTTACCCAGTTCCCAAATGCACTTTATTTGTGCATGTACTTTGCACAGTTGTAGTAAAGTAGAGAACGACCATTGAAACTAACAAGCACAGTGTCAACTCTGGGCCAGCATTAAGCAAGATTAACAGCGAGATGACAAACAAAGGGACTCACGTCACTTCTTCTGCCAAGTGAGGAAGAATCGTTTTCTCCCTGATCCAAGCAGCAATTTCCTGGTCCTTTCTGTTGACAGCCATTTGACTCCTAAAAAGGTGAAATGCCTTAGATTAAAAACTTTTTTTAGTTGGGAAATAGGCACATGCCCTGAAAGGTTTAGCAGTTTAAATGAGACTTTAGACTTCTGTAGCCACTTTTGGTAGTTTCTATTGGAACAAGGATAATCACAAGGCCTTTCTTCTTTTGTTTTATTTTTTAAGATAAAATGATACATACAGAATATATAAATATATAATATGATATAGAATATATATAATCTATAATATATAGTATAAATGAATAATATAGCTTATAGAGAAGTATAAAAGAATAAACTGTCATTACTCTATTCCATTGATGGTATTTTAACATAATATGTATTTGGGACTGTGCTGTATTTATATAGTACATAATATTTGAAAACTTTTGTTTATTACATGTGCAGCTTTGTGTACATATATGAATCTTTTTAGGTTAATTTCTATTGGTAAAATTAATGTTTTTCAGGCAATAACCATTTATCCAGTCTCTAGCATATATAAGATTCAATGACATTGAATATTATAATTCATATAGGGCCTTAAGAAAAATTTTAAAAAATTAAAAAAAACAGGGAGACCATTTTGGTAACCAGATCTCCCAGACATTTGGGGTCAGTGTGGGGCTGATGGGGAATGTGATGACAATGTACCATACGGCAGGTTTCCATTTGACGGCTCTTTCATTTTCTATTTCCTCCAAACTTACCTTTTGTATCTTTTTCCTCAAATAATTTCTTCTAAGTACCTAGCAAAATACTTTCTTCCAGACACTTCAGTTCTCTGTCTCTGCCCAAGTGTCTCAAGCTGCCATTTTCTTAATTCTGCCCAAGAAGCAAAGACAGCTGGCCCAAGCAAGCAGCGCTTCCTCTGTTACTCAGAGCTCTGAGAGCTTCCATGATGGACTGTGCATCAATCATAATGGAAAAAAAGCCAGTTTCCTTTTGACCCGGTAGATATAAACCTTGCGTCTTCCCTATGGGACTGGGTTGCTTTCGCCCATTAAAGTCCCATGGGACCTGTTGGCTACATTTTTGCCTTTATCCCCAAAGTCTGTGCACCTGGAAAGGTGAATAACATCCACATCCACAGGGAAAGAAGTTTCCTTTAACTCCCTTTATTTGTATTTCATAAGTGCTTTTCCTCTTACACCAGCAATTTGCTGGGCTTACAAGCTCTTCATTTAATTTCTCAGCTTGACAACTTTGGCTCCCCCATGTGGCAGTAGAGGTCTGGGACAGGCATACATGGGTGACCCGCTGGGCTCTGGGGCATGGGACACAACTTCTGGCTCATTTCCAGGTGAGGGGCCTCAAGCACCTGTGTGGGCACCTCAGCCTGAATGTCCAACCTGGCTTCACTTCCTTCACAAACAGCCACTTGTTGGCCACCCTTTAATGTAGCGGTGCAGACACTGGCTGTTATGATCTCCTGAGATGGACACAGAAAAGAGGCTTATGTCAGGCCTGGGAGTGGGGTCAAGGCCATACGTGAAGAATGATCTAGAAAAGGGGTGAAGGCTCCAGGTGGGCAAGTCATCTTGGCCTCATGGACTCCTGAGAATGGGTGAAGCTGGACCAGAGAGGGGTCCTCTAAAGTGTGGGGTCCCTTTTGCTTGGGTCTCAGGGCTGTACTGCCCACATCTGTCCTGCCCTCAGCAGAGGGCCATCAGAGGTATCTGTCTGCTCTCCCTGTCAAACACTATTCACAGTGTCAACAACATCCTCAAGAACAGTTGCAACTGTTTGTTGAACTCTTACTAAGTGCCGAGCAAGGCTCATTGGATTTTCACCACAGACCATTTTGTAGACAAAACACTCTGTGTTCTTGCACTTGGAGTGAATTTTGAATTCCAGTCTGCATATTCAGCTTCTTTATTTGCTCACCCCTTCCCAGCTGGTGGGATTCCTGGAACTAACCTTGCCTCACCAAGGCAAACTCCATCTCCTTGCTTGTCTACCTGGGCTTGCTGGAGCCCTCCTACCTGTCCTGTCCAGAAGTCTCGCTTATCTAGCCGTGGACAATGTTTGGATGGCCAGTTAGATCACCTGACTTCCCTCTGTGGTTTTGATTGGACAACATCAAGGGTAGTGTAAAGTTCACCCAATTCTCCAGAAATAGCTACAACTCGTGAGTCAGCTGGAGCTAACTGACTTGATCTCATTGTCTATTTATATGGTCTAAAAAAATTCAGTTCCTGTGTTTGCAGCCTCAACCACCTGCCACTGTTATTCTTGCTCTGGAGGATTTCCCCCCAGTCACCTACTCACCATGCAGAAGGTCCTCCCACTCTCAAGAATTGGCCGATACCCAGTGCAGCGGCATAGATTACCTAATCAGAGAAGAAGCATGGCTATCAATAGGCTTTGTTTTTACTGGTTTCTTTTGAAAGTTGAAACAGATCCAGTCTTTTTTGGAGAGTATTTTAATGTCTGCCAAACTGCTTAATGCTTTTTTCTTCTACTTAGAGTATTATCTTCCCCACTTCAATTCCAGTTTTATTCTCTGTCCTAAAGAAGATGACAGTCTAGCTGGTGAGCTTACTTTCATCCATCTATTAATTTATTCATTCACATGAATCTATTGACAACAACTATATATCAGACACAATGTAAAATGGTGGGGATCCTAAAAAAGAAAACATAGGCAATTTCAAGGCACTACATGAGCAAGTATCACACCTTGGACAGTGGTGCTCCTCAGTGGATTTTAGGTCATTGCATCAGAATCTCCTAGGAGTATTTGTCAAAAGTGCAGATCCCTGGCCCTGCTCTAACTCTCCTGAATCAGAATGTTTGGGGTTGGCCAGGGGTCTGCACTTAAGAGGTCTGCAAGTAATTCTATTGCACTGTAAAGTCCTAGAAAGTCAGGTTTCCCAGGATGAAGGCCTGGGGGTCGGGGTGGAAGAGGGTCAATGTGGAATAGAGTTCATCTGGAAAGGCTTGACAAGGAAGCCTGGGCTTGAGTGATGAGCAAGCTATGGACTGGTGGAGAGCAGGGCAGGGGCATGCAAGGTTCTCAGAGCAGTGCAGACAAGGTGCAGAAGAGGAAATGTGCAGAGGTTGGGAGGAGACTGGCCTGCAGGGAGTCATGCAAAGGAGGAGGAAGCATGAGTGAGTGAGGCCAGTGGATGGACTTCTCTGAGTGCCTGGTGAGGAAGTGAGGCTTGGCCACGCTTTAGGCATGAGGAGCTGCAGAAGGACCTCAAATAGGAGAAGGACCTAAGGGAGGTGGGGATTTTAGATGACTAATCTTATTTACTGTATTGGAGCAGAGAGAGTCAAGGATGTCCACCAGCAGCTGGCAGGTTAGGAGAGTGTGTCTGTGCTCACCTGTCAGCCTTCACCAATCTAAGAATTAGCTTATCTAACAGGTGACTTGTTTAGGGATTATTGACACCTGAAGATGGTATTTATTGATCCTGTGAAAGAGATATGTTTATACATTTCTCTTTAGTAACTTAAGCCTATAGCACATTTTAAAGGATTCTTTTGATAGGTGAAGGACTCTGTTAATGGGTTGAATTCCCCCTCCCCCGCAAATATGTTGAAATCCTAACCCCTAGAATCTGTGAACATGACCTTATTTGGAAATAGGATCTCTGTAGATGTAATTGAGCTAAAATGAGGTTATGCTGGGTTAGGGTAGTCCCTAATCCAGTGACTGGTGTCTTTATAAGAAGAGGGAGATTTGGACACAGACACATGGGGGAGAAGGCCACATGAAGACGGAGGCATAAATTGGAGTGACGCATCTATAAGCCAAGAGATGCCAGGGACTACTGTCAAAGACCAGAAGCTGGAAGAGTCAAGGAAGGCTCCTCTGCTAGAGCCCACATGGTGTGGCCCATGTGCAGCGTGTTAGTTCTGCGCAGGCTGCTCCAGACATGTGCTCTGATCAGCAGGGGACAGCTTGGGCATCTCTACTCTTGGGTGGACTGTAGCTACTTTAGAAGTAACCGAAGCATAGGGCCTGCGTGGGGTTGGGATGATGCTCAGGGGTGGGTGGAGCAGCTGAACACCTGGCCTTGGGTGGGTGGTGGGTTTTCTCTTGGTCAGACCTACCCCCTAGGGATTCCATGAGCTGCTCCTCTGAGGGCTGCGGGTGGTTCCTGAGCAGCGTGTACATGGACATCACCATCCCAGGGGTGCAGAATCCACACTGGGTGCCGTGGCTCTTTGCAATCCTCTCCTGGGAAAACACACATGCATGGTCACAGTGCACCTACCTGCTGACACCAACTCTCACCAGGGTCCACAGCCTGTGTCTCCCTTGTCATGATGGAACCCACTTCCTGAGCAAATGTAGCTCATCCCTGGGATCAGAGTCTGCCAGTGTCCCTTTTCCTAGGCTGCTCCTCTAGCATTATAATCACTTCTCAAGGTTAAGTGCTCAAACTCTTCTAATTTGGAATCAGCAGTGTGTAGCCTCCATTCCCAGAGTGAGAA